TGGATAACCCTGCAGTTTACAACTGGCCAAGAGTACTGAATAGAACAGGGACTGTCAGGGGAAAACATCAAAACAATAAATCTGTCTTTGGGATTTGTTCACCCAGGAAGAGCTTTGTAAGTCAGGATGCATAGCAAGGAAATAAGCAAAGCACACGTATGTACACAATACACTGACCTGTGCTCAGAGAGGGACACACGACCAACCCAGGTACTCAGTGTCCTGAAGTGATTGCATCTATGCACAGGAGTCTCCAGGGAAGCCCAGGAGGCAGGTTAGAAGTCACAGGTTCATTGCAAGATCTTTTAAGCAGCACACCTGCACTCTGGACAAGAGACTGCATGTCACCTCCTAGTTACTCCACTCAAATGAAGAAACAGAAATCCATCAAATCCATGTGGATGGGATTTGCTGCCAGAGCCAGGAGTTGAGGTCACGAGCCCCATGGCATATGTGGAGGCTTAGGGGTGCTGTGGAACTGAATTCCTCATCTGCTGATAGCCCCTGAACTTGTCTTCTTGGTTCTCTGACAAGTTAAATACTTTTATAATTAGGGATATTCTTGGAAGGAGCACTGCTGGTGATGGGCTAGCAATAGCACAGGCTACCCTCTTAATCAGCAATGAACAAACGACATCTTTCTTGCCCACCTCCTAAACAAATGATTTTGTGAATCGTGTGGTCTTGGAGCATGGCTAGGTCACTGACGGATGCTGAACACACTGTCCACCCCGGGTCTGCAGTGAAAGTATAAATACATAACACCAACCAGAACACTAGCACACCCATCATGTATGGAAGAGTAAAATAGTTCATTATGTCATGGGAGATGATAAAAGAACAGCCATTCATGAAACAAAACATCTTGTACAAATGAGATCTTTATTAATTGCACGGAAAATATCAATCACTAACTGAAAATTTATAAATGGTATATTCCCATTTCTATTTTCGGCATCTTTCTGGGTAAGAGTCAAAGTCATTATGCCTTTACCAAAGTAAAAGTTTACCTTGCAAAAAAGAAAACAGTAAAAATTAACTGTAAAAGCCCACACTGGCAAATACAATGATCAATTTGTTACAAAGGTGGAAAAAACTGACCCAGAAGGACTTGCACACGCATGCAAAGAAAAAAATAAATATTCGTAAAACCTCCGCAAGTATGGCTCGTTGAAAGATAGAACAACAGTTCTATAGGACATGATCAGGAAGACTCATTTATTCCTAATTGTTGTCTTCATCTGTCTATCTAAGTTCTCAGGTGTCCAGTAAGGGTGGAGGATTCCGCAGGGTGAGTAAAAATATGTCCATGCAGGACAGACGGATCAACTAC